GGGTTACCGTGATCAAGAAGGCGGTTCCCCCGAAGCGAGGCTTGGCCATTGCACTACGGTTGAGTTGACCTTTGCGATTATTCCTAATGCGAATAACTCGTGCGTGTAATTTTTGATAGTCGGGAATGGCGTTCGCGCCGTCCCGGATAAGTAATACATTTAAAATATTAAAGAGCTGCATTAAGACATAATATTGATATTATTTCTATAAAATGATATTCTTAATAGAATGTTTTTATTAGTGTCGACCTCAATATTTATGTTTTAAATTTGGCTGGGCTTTAGGTCGTGCTTTTAAATTTTGTTTTTATATAATAATTTTTATTGTATAAAAACACAAATTTTAAATTAAATAAAATATCACATTTATTACTTGATGTAATATATTTTATTAATTAACAAATATATTACATCAAGTAATAAATGTGATATTTTATTTAATTTAAAATTTGTGTTTTTATGCAATAAAAATTATTATATAAAAACAAAATTTAAAACCACGACCTAAAGCCCAGCCAAATTTAAAACATTATTCTTAATATCAATCCAGCTAGCAATGGAAAAATTATTTAAAATGTAGCTTAATATTTTTCTTCCCATTTCCAAATGTACATATAAGTCTTATTGTATATAACACTTATTTTTTTGGAAGGATAGTTTTTTAAATAAAATTTTCTATATAATTTAAATGTTTAAAATGTTAAAGTAGTGCTTTACAGAAAATTTAATATTTAATGAAATCACTAAAAAAAGTAAGCATTCACCCTCAGCTATAGATATCTTGTTGCTAGATAAAATAAATTTTATTATCATTACGTAAAAAATACTTAGGTGATATTTGCAGTCTGAAGTAACGTTCCCGATAACTGATTAGCATTGTAGATGAGAAAATCGGGAACAACATAATACCTTTACTTAATTACAAAGTAACATATGTATATGATATATCATCTGTCAACTACATAAACTTTATACATACAAATATCCATCTTATTTATATGATCGTTTCACAAACGATCACAAATTTAGAACAATAATGACCTTTATTTTTTTATGAATATCTATTTTTATGTCGATTGTAACAGTAACAGCTAATGGTGTCACTATATTATTATTTATTATTATAATTTATTACTGATTCAAGAAAATTTGTACTGCACTTACAAAAATTATAAAATTTTACTTAAATGTTGTCATGTTGTCATGTTGTCACTATCCAATAGGAAACAATTCATGGTGCTGTCTATATTTCTTAATATGTGAGAGCTCTCTCTGAAGTTAATCTTTTGTTATTGTTTTTTCCTTAATTACTATTGCCGCGTTATTTGGGTCTACTCTAGATCTACCTTACATGTTCCCAAGAGCAGCTGTTACAATACTGTGCCATGAGAAAGAAATCAAATAAGCTTCGAAACGTTGGAGATATGTATATAGATTAGACTATATAAAAATAAAATAAAAACCAATTTAAAAACTTTTATTTTATAGATTCACATAACGTTTTTTTAAGAACAAAATCATAAAATTGGATAAATTAATGTGTGAAAAAAACAGATTAAATTTAAATTACTACAGAATAAGAACTCAATCATTAACTATTGTATTTATAATTATCATAAATATATCAGTATACGCAATTTATATGGCACTGAAATAGAGATATACTCACATATGAATATGTGTTTAAAAATCTAAAAACCATTCAAAATATCTTGTACAGTTTAAATATAACATTTTGCTGTAACATCGGTAAAAAAAAATTCATTAAAAATTTAATTATTAAAACCAAATCACATCTACAAAAAAAAAACCATGCTCAATTCAATCTTTAAAAATGCTAACATATCAAGCATATTTCCGTAGGTAAATATTTAAATAATTATGTATTTTCAAGGCTATTATTCAAAGTTTTTAAGCATCATAAAACTAAACAGCATTTAAATGCTACTGACATATTTTATTAAGCCTAAAAAACAATGCATTTGATACGCAGCGTAGCATTTACCTAACCTGCAGTTGACCGTATGCGTTCAAGTCATTTTTAGATATGTATTTGAAAAAAACTCTAGCTATTTAAATTATAAATTTTTAAATAGGTGAAGTACACACAATATGAGATTTTATGAATTTGTAAGGTAAAAAATGTAATAATTTTCAACAAACCCAAATTATGAGATAAAATAGAATTCAAAATTTTTTTAATTAAATTTCTACTGCATTTATTATGACAATCCTACATATTTACATATTAATTTGTATAACCTATTTAAATTCTAAAAGGTTTATATACTCAAGTTTTGATTTTAAAAATATATGCAACCCATAATTATATACTGTCTGCTACGCACCCACAAATGCAATATCAAATGAATTTCATTATATATATAATAAATAATAATATGTAAACATAATATACTTTCTTAAATATGTGAAGAGTTAAACAAATATTTTAGTTTTGAAACAAATTTGTTTCAATAATTATTTTTTCAGTTTAGAAACAACAAATTGCTCCCTAAGTTACGAAATCAAATGCCTAAATTAATCTAAATAACTCATTTGGAGGAACAATAAAAACTTCGAATATATGAATATTTTTCAATCAGAGTTAGTGTTATCCGTTTAGTATTTTCATGAGTAATTTAATAAATCATTTACTGATGTTATACAATACAGGCCGTAGAATACAAAGATAATAAGGAGCAAATTAAAAACCCTATTTTTTATTTAATAAACTAAACTAATAAACTTATAAAAAAAAATAAATTTTAATTACATATTTATATGTTATTAATTTATATAGCGGCAAAAAATCCCTTGGGATATCTTATTTTGTGAAGTGAGTTTTGTTTAGTTCACGTACATTCTAAAATTTAATTTAGTTTTATAAAACTAAAATTTATTTAAATTTATTTATAAAATGAGAAATCTGATATAAGAATCTGTTTACACCACAGAAATAATTTTAGTTTTATACTGGATTCACACGAGAGTTTTGTTTGTAATTTTAGCTGTCATTTGTAATTACTTGCAATGCAAAATAAACATTTTTGACAGCTAAAACTACAAACAAAACTCTGGTGTGAATCCGATATTAGTTTCATATATAAAAAAAAAAAAAAATTTCAATATTTTGTTTAGTTTTGAAAAAAATTTCTTTTGACCAGTGATACAAATTAGTACACAATCTCACTATCATTAGGTCTCTTCTACGAGCTACTCTCAGTAAAACACAAGTAAAGCACGGTTGCCACTTGAAAATTTTTTTCTGTACCAAAATTGGTTTAAAAAGGTACCATTTCTGTAAAAAAAGGTCCAAAATTTTTTTGGATTAAAATTTTGGTACTAAAGTACCATAAGTGGCAACCGTGAAGTAAAGTACAAACTGAGAGCGTAATACAAATAAAGTGCCAATTTTCTCTCTTAACTCAAATTTTCATGGAACAGCATTGTGTTAAATTTGGTGAGAACACCAGTGCCGCACAAATAAACAATACAAAAATTCAAATTCAAACCAAAACAGCTGATTGACACATCACACAAATTTTACTTGAAATAAAATATATGAGTAAAGTCTGTATAGCATTTTCAAATTTCAACAGAGATGTTACGCGCTCTCAGATGCTCTCATTTACTAGAAAGTTTGTTGGTGGAACGCACTTGTCTATACACGGTCTTACTCAATGTTACTATGAGTAGCTCGTGGAACAGACCTAATATGCCTTTTGAACATAGCAAACCTTTTTGATATAATATGAAATCAAATTTTAAAATTTTTAATTTTAACATTATAAATAAACTCCACATTTACAGTGACGAATAAAATTATCGACTCGCAAAATAAACTAATTTTCGGCTAGCGACACAATAGTAGTAACTAGCCTCTTGCAGTGTCCTCCTGACCGGTATGAGATGAATTTCCTTGCCGAACTCTCACTTAACCTCAGCTGTAATTTGGGTTGCAGATATTTTTGGGTTGACCTTCACTTTTCGTATTGTTATGTTGCGTTCACGGACACTCATAGCATTAGATCGGTCTGTATGCTTTGCACTTTGCAACAATATCGCCCCCTTGAAAGGCTGCACAATGCTCCGAAAGGTATAGCGGCTTCTATCCATCATTTCTCCAATCTCCGTGTAAGATTTGCCTTGGTTGTACAAATATAAAATTAGATAGACGTCCAAAGAAGCCCATTATAACAACAATGGCAGAACTAAAGGTGGCACTGCTGAAGAGTGTCAAAATTTTGGACCAAAAAGCACATAATAATTGATTTTTTCGATTCCAAAACAAATAGTAGCTATTATTAAATAGAAGAGCTTGGCCATTAAATATTAATTGTTATCGAAAATATTTTTTTTAATTTGTTTTTTAATTTTTACGTTAGCTGTGGCAATAATTTTGTTTAGCCAAATTTAGTTCTTTTTTTGATTTTTTAATTTTAAGAAACTAAATATAAAAGAAAATAAAATGAAATGAAATGAATTTAAAAGCAAATTAAGCATTTTATCTAAAAAAATTTTTTTGTTTATTAAAAATCGCATCATTAACAGGATAAAAATATTGCTAAAGTTCAATTTGCTTGCTGTGCCAATAATTTTGTTCGTCACTGTGTATGTTTCGTGTTGGAAAGTAATGAGTTGTTGTGTACAGCACTTTTCTTTCAGAATCATTTAAACTAATTTCTACATAATGAATGCTTTAGGGCTCATTGCGTATATGTACCCCTAAAATAAATTCTCATTTATTAGTAGGTGAGCTCCCGCATGATCACTCAATATTTTGTTCCCCAAGTCAAACACCCAACTCAGCGCCAACACGCAATCGTAGTCGTGCATTGCTGTCAATTACTGCTACTCGCAATAAATTTCGTTCAATTCTAATTTAAATTCAATAGACATTCCTTCGAAACAACCGCGACCTATTCGTAACGTTTGATCTATTTTCGAAATTTTTCCAAATAAAAATTTCGTAGTTGTATTGTGTTTATGTGCTGTTGTCTTTTTTTTGCGCGCACCCGTTAGTCTTGAACATATGTTCGCGGTGTAAATACGTACATGGGCCGGTGGGATTTTTGATTAGTTCTAATGTGCGATAATAGCGCATCAAAAAATTGTATTTTTGTCGATCGGATTACGGTAATCAGCAGAAAGGGAATGATAAGATAAGTGAAGTTTTTTTTCGATGTTTTTCTCGCTGATTTAATTTTGCCTGCATTCGTTCGTTCTTTGCTAATCAAAAATTCAGTTTCGGTAACAAATTGAACGTGTGAAAGTGCTTTGTACTTGTTTTCGCTTTCAGAAAATAAGAAAAAAAACAAGCAAACTTTGAATTTATTCAAATAGGAAGTAGAAGAGATTAATTAAATTTTTTGTGTGTAAAAATTTGTTACAATTCGTTTCGTCAATTTTCCTTTTGTTCAGAAATGCCTATCAAAACTCAAACTCCAAGCCAAGCACAAATTGATGAGCTGCGCAATCTTTTCTTAAAGAAATTAGAAAATGATCCGCCAGCAGGTGAGTAATTAACATTAAATAAAAAATTAGTGAAGGTGTTAATTGCATTTCTAAAGAAATATGAACTTTGCCTATTAAATATAATAAATAAATAGTCATAAAATGCAATTTTTCAGTTGTTGTGCTGCGTTTTTAGAATTCCTCTTGAATTCAGTTTAAAATAACATTTCGACGTTTTGCAGTGCACGTTTAACAATAAACAATAAAAGCAATTTTTACATTTTTTATTCATTTTATATAAAGTACTCTCTACTTGAGTCATTTATTTACACTGTATTTTATTAAAAAAATAAACAAAAATATCGGAAGATATTAAAAAATTATCGCTATTGAAAATAACAACCTTGAAATTGCTGCTGCACCGTTTTTTAATGCAGTTAATTGTCAAGCAGATGATAATTTAATAATGATCTATAATAATTATGTTTGGAACATTGAAAAGAAAACGGGTTATAAGAATCTTAAATGTTAGTAGATTTAATTAAAAGTTTAATAAAAATAGGTAAATATATTCAAAGCACAAATTTTGAAATGAATTGAAAAGAAGTCCTCCATAATTTTTAAATAATTATTATAATGAAAATCAATGGTTAATGATAAAACAGTGCTGTATTAAAACATTTAAGCACATTGAAAATTATGGTGTAATTTTAATAAATAAATTAATAAATATCAATTAAATAAATTTATTATAATTTTAAATAAATTTTATTATTATTATTATGTTGAGGCTAGTTTTTTCAGTGCATTTTAGCACTTTTACTCTCTATTAACAGCGAGGTTTCTTCATAACTCCTCTCTACGGCTTAACTGAATTATTGTTTATCACTTCATCAAACTAAGCAATAATTGACCTCAGATCTGCAAACATCCCCGAGTAGCCTGTAACCATTTTAAGATTCGATAACGAGGTGTTGGTAAGCATGTCAGTTTTCTTAATTTTATGCTAGTACATATTTATCTTTCAACATATATACTATTAGTGATTAACTTTTTTTCTTTCATTTAATAATAAAGTACTGTACTAACTTCCTAACTATGTATGCAGGAGCAGGAACTAATATGTATGACTAATAGTAATTAATATCTTGTATACGCTTGCCGTTACTAAAATGTGACCCGTCAGCACATCTTTGTTAGACCTAGAATCTTTCCGTGGCAACGATAATACAAATCAAATATTCTTTTCTTGGTTTTATGTACACGGGTCCCTTTACTGTTTTTTACTGTTTGTGAAAGATATAGATTATATTTTTTTTTGCTATTTTAACGCTTGCCTTTAAACGTAAATAAGAATGTAAATAAATTTATTAATTTTTAATTAACTTAATTTTTAAATTTAAAGCAGAAAAATTAGCGTATTTTCTAATACTAAATTTTATTCCTAATATGTTGTAAGATTTTTATTGCGTTGAAATCATTTGTCTGAAGCTCATCTTACTCAAATAGCCAGAGCAGTCCGACGATCTTACAAAATAATATCCTTTTGTTGGCTTTTTAGATGAATTTTTTATATATTTGCAGTTTTAACAATATTTATGTGTAACCTAAACCCACTTATTCTTGATATATGCATTTGATTATATGATAAAAATTATCATCTCGGCTGCCCTGCCATATACAGAAATATTCAAATTGAACTTATATGATGCTGTAATATGATTTGACAGTGATTTAAATTCTTTTAAGTTTATAACTGAAAAAATTGACTGCTAAACATTTACGATTAACGTTTAGCAGTCCTCTGAATTCTTTCGTGAAATCAGGTTAAGTTATATATTATTATAAGATGTTTGTGCATTTGATAATTACAATTCACATACAAATTATAGTTTCGAAATTTCTGTATTTAAATACTTTTATATATCTCTTGTAAATGTAATTTAAAAACTATGAACCTTAACAACCTAAATTTTAATTTGTTTTATTTTTTTTCTTTATTATTACAATAAATTTTTTTTATTATAACATTTACGAGCACTTTTTTTGAATGAATTACAGAATAAAATTATTTTGGAAAATTAAAGACAGTTCATGTGACCTATAGCCTATGCAAAAGTTCACATTTTATTACCCATACAAGACTGTGATAAAATTTAAATTCACACACAAAAAAAATATAGCTTAGCTATTTATCTATTATATACACTAATTGTAATACATAAATCAACTTTTAGTACAGAGTCAAAAGTTATATTAAGCGGACCCCTTAAAATTTACATCACATAAAATTATTTTTCTCTTCTCCTCAAATGTTAATGTCTTTCAATTATTCGCTATAAAAATACAAGTTAATATGTGTATAAATATAATTTAATCTATTTGCACTTAGCTTTTAGCACATTCCTTAAGATATCTACAATAATATTTAGTTTCAGATTAAAAACAATTTTTTTTCTTTAACTGTTAATAAATCTAAATTTGGGAAGAACAAAAGTCAACTGTATATTTTCTTGTTCGACTACTGGACTTTAGTTTTTTATGTATATGCGATTTGAATAAAAGATTATTATTAAAATTAAGTATATAAACTATGCAAAATAGCATATTAGCGGATTTATACTAAATGGTTTTATTACATTTAGTTCCAAAAAAACTGATCTCTCATATATTATACGTAACAAATTTTTAAAATATTGTCCACGGTTTTTCTTTCATTATAGAAATGTATAACCTCCCGAGAAAATATGTTCAGACATATTAGCTTATTATATATATATTATTATATTATTATATATTATTATATAATATATTATTCCGAAATGATTTATAATTTGATTTTTAAAATAATTTTTAAAATCACAAAAAGCTTATCTGCAATACCAACATGCTATTGTTATTCACTATAATTACCATTAAACATCAAAGGTATAATTATGTTCTATTATGATTTATTAGAAGCCAGTAAGAATTATTATAAGAATATTTTTATATTTTCCTAACATATTATTTAATCAGAAATGTACTTGAATTTTGTAATATTTATTGTCTTAATCAGACTGACCATAATAACAACAATTTTTAATCCAATAATCTTATCTGCAGTAAAGAATGAAAAGGTCTAAATTGTTATTAACATTTGAAATTTAACATTTAAATTTGATGTTTAAAAGTAAGTTAAAAAAATATCATTACCGTATAAAGAATAATTAATTATCTATATAATTAATCTATATAATTATATGAACTATGCAATATTATGGAGAAAGTAATCTCTGGTCGTTCTCTGTTCTCTGGTCGTAATGCACACACAATTTTGAACATTATTGATATTTAGCTGTAATCCAGGAAAGTTGCTAGATTTCTTCGCCCCGACGCAGGCTATTTTCAATTAAAATTCACCCAGTTCCTCATTTATTCCTTGTCCGAAACAATCTCTTCTTATTCTCACTCTACCTTTACCCAACCCATGTATACGTATTTGTAATTCCTTTCATATTTTCTACCTTGGGTAGAAAATCTACGGGTTACAACAACAACAAATCTGCAGTTAAAGTTCCAGAATTTTTTTTACTAACTTCACTAGAAAATTTACTAGTGTAACAATATCATTGACATATTGGTTAACCTATTACAACAAGAAATTTCCTTTAATGAAAGAAATGAAAAATAATTTGTTTACTTATATAAAATACTTAAAACATTTAAATAAAAGTATATTATTAATAACTCAAAGATCGTTTATTTAAGATATAAATGAACCAAAAAAATGAATAATATATTCTGTCTCAGTAGAATTTTAATTAAAAACCATTAGCTATGTTGAAGATTTCAAGAACAATTAAATTTCTAGACATTATCTAAAATTTTTTAATTAATTTCAAAAACAAATATTTTTATTAAAATTATTTTTGATATTTAATAAACAATTAAGCATATATTGCCGAGCAAGACATTTCTGCATAAAACAAATTAGTTTGTAACTCCAAAAAATGCTGAGTTTAAATATGTCTGTTGATTTTTGCTACTTTATTATATAGACATTTCAAAAATTGTATCAGTTTATGTATTATATTATGTATGTATTATGTATTATATTTTATATTATTATATATATTATAAATATTAGATTATATAGACAGTTGATTTTTGTATCAGTTTAAAAAAAAATTTAAATATTTTTTTAAAGGGTTTTCCATTTTTATTTATCATTCACTTTGTATACCAAATCACTGTTTAACCTTCCCTTTTTGTAATAAATGCATTGTTTAACAATACACTTTAACGATATTAGCTAACATTCAATAGTTATCAAGAAATTGATAATATTTTGAAAATTTTGCATTAAATATGAACTTTGTTCAATAAAATATTAAATCGAAGTTCTATCATAAAAGGTGCAATTAATGATGACTAGTAATGACTAGTAGAATAGTATTAAAATTTAACAAATAAAAATAAAAATATATTTATTTAATTAAATTATTCTACAGCTGGTTTATGATTTTGCTCTGTTATAAAATACAGGAAGTGAATTTGTTAATAAAACTTTCAAAGCAAATTAACAAATCTCCAAAAAAATGTGCGACTTTGAACATCAAGTGCGGCTTTAGGTCAGTTGATTAAAGAGTGCTGACTCTGAGCTTCAAATTTGGCAGGACACGAATTCAATCACTGGTATTTGCAGTCTCAAAAATTTATTTACGAATAATTAAATACAAGAATTATTTCCAACACCACTGACGTTGTGTATTTGGAAATACTCGAAACAGCTGTATAGTCAGCCAAAAATTCAATTAATTAAAATAATATAAAAATATATTTTCACTACTTTTCGAAAAACCTCGTTATACCATAAATTAAATTTATTACAAACTTCCATTATTTATTTAACTATTTTTATTTAATTTTTACTATTTTAACTATAAAAAGCACAATATTTAAACGTTTTTTTTTTTGCTTTCAGTACCATTTCATCCAGTTGACTTAGATCGTGTCAAGAATGCTGATCTCTGGTGTACACGTTTCTTAGAAATGTATGATTTGGATATGCCAACTGCATTTGATAAACTTTGGACCACCTGTATTTGGCGTCAATCATATGGTGCAAATGATCTCAGTGAAAAAAATTTACGCGCTGAGTATCTAAATGATGGTGTTATATTCTCCAGAAATAAAGATATCGATGGCAAGCCCTTACTTATATTCAAAACAAAATTGCATGTTAAGGGTTCAAAGGACATGGAGGAAGTAAATCGAGTTGTTGTTTATTGGATTGAACGCATTCATCGTGAAACGAATATGGAAAAAATTACAGCTGTTTTTGATATGGCAGGCACAGGATTAGGAAACATGGATTTAGATTTTGTTAAACGAATTATTGATACATTTAAGCAATATTATCCAAATACTTTAAATTACATATTAATTTTTGAAATGGCTTGGGTGTTGAATGGTAAGTGTTATTTTTTGTTATTATAATTTTTTATCCTATTAATATTAACTATTTCTTTTCTGAAGCTGCTTTTAAACTAATTAAAGGCCTTCTACCAGCAAAAGCATTGGAAATTTTGAAAATGGTTTCGAAAAAAGATATAAACACTTACATTGACAAAAATAATTGTCTGACCAGTTGGGGTGGCACTGATGATTACGAATTTAGTTTCGTGCCAGAAAAGATTGCAAACAAACCAATTGTGCCAACAACACTATTAACACCACCACCAACACCTATTCCAACAGCTGGTAGGGAGGCTAATGGCAATGTACCTGCATATGGTATTCAACTAAACCAGGATAAGAAGGTAAGTTTTAAGTAGTCTATTTTACTAGCCTGTTATGGGGTTTTCTTGTTATGGGATTGTATGGCAAAAAGAAAAATTAGTATACTTCCGCTGCACCTTGAAGTATTGACAACAAATAAATTGCGTCAAAGGTCAAACAACTAGTTTGATTGTATAGTACAAATGTCTTTTAGTTGTGTACGACATAAGTAGGCTAATGCACTTTATTTAAAAGCAGGAATATCTCTGCAAGAAATTCATGTTGCTATAATTCTTAGTTCTAATAACAAAGGGTGTGTAGATGTCAGTTTATCGTATTGTGACACAACAAAATTACACCAAAGACAAACTACATACATTTTACCGACACTGTTTCCACTAATATGGATTTGTTTATATATGTAGACATATATTTATATATATAAGGTAGCCTTTTGTTAAAGTTTTTCCAAAGGTGGTCAAGTAAATATTTATTTACATTTATTTTTAACACGCACACAGCTATTTCTATTAGCCAAAGTTTAATTGACATATTTCTCGAATTTCTTTGCTTTGAGTGTTATGGTATTGAAAGGGAAACATAAAACAAAGATATAAATTAACTTTACGACTAAAAATACAAAAGAAAGATAAGAATTAAATATTTTTTAGGTAAAGGTCAAAGTAAACTATAACTTACTAAAAATAATAGAAAAAAGTCACCCTAAAATAGTTTGTGCTATTATTGTTCTAAATAATGTAAAATTTATATACTTAGTTTTTTATAGGACTATCTAAAATTTGTCTTGGATCAATAAAGTTAATTGATTTTATTTTACTCTCACAGCATAGATTTTCAATTTGGAACCCGTGCATGTAGTACTGGACTTTTGCTTTTTTTATATACTGATAACCTCAAGATTACAAGATTTTTAAAAAATATATTGAAGACTTTTGGATTAAAATTTTACTATTTTATTTATTATCTTTACTAATATCGACGATTTTTTAATTTTTTGGGATATTTTGCCATCTAAGTAGAATATTTTACATTTGCTAGTTTATTAATTTAAACATAGTGTTAGTATAAAATTAAAAATAAAATTCTTAGAGTAAAAATAATTTAACAAAGTAAATGAATAAATATTATTGCTTTAGTTGTAAACTATAAATGAGACCAAAAGTATAAAAGAAAAATAGATTTTTAACGCACAAACTTTAACTACAGCAATTAGTGAATTATTTATTAATGCCCCTAAAAGCTTTCTATACTTTTCGGCAACGTAGACAGTTTACCAACTTACGTCGTTATCAACGTAAATTATTGCTTAACATTGAAAATATAACGTATTTATATTATTCTACATATAAATACATATATTCCCTTCGAAACATCTGCTGGATTTCAAATAAAGCAAATTACTTAGATTTTTTTTTTGGCACGCAATAAGGTTTGGCAATCTTTTTTAACCACATATCTAATTATTGGCAAAATATTCTCTTTACTTTGTGCCAACATAAAATTTATGAAGTCTAATTTATACAATTCCCGGTATTTAAAATTTTTTACCATTTCATAAATTTTATTAATATGATTACTGCAATTACATGTATATTTAAATATTTGGAATTAAAACCATAAAAGACAAAATGATATCGCTACTGCTGGCAATTAGCCAGTAATTGAAGCAAATATATGTTTATGTATTATTGCTTTTCAATTTTTTATATATAGAATTATACGCAATATAATAGAATATATTTTTTTTATAGAATTTTCAACTCTACATACAATTTTATATATTTCCAAAAACATATATAATGTGATACATTATACATTTTGTATATATATTTAGAGATAAATTACAACTTCATGTATTTTTGAAGATATTTCTTACTACAGACAAGAAATTTTCAAAACGTTGTATACTTAACTAAAAAATAATAAAATCGATTATCGATTAAAATAAAAATGCTAACAAAGTACATGTATCAGCTCTTATATCAACGTATAACGTTTATTTCATTGCCAAAAAAAAATAAATAAATATAAAATATTAGTATGTTAATAATGGTGCCTACTATAAGTAATAACATATAATCGCACTCTTTAATTCTTTACATGAAGGAAATATAATTAAACTTTAAAAACAAAATCTACTTTTCTACGCAGAAATTATTTACTGAGTCGACAAGCTTAAGTGTAACTACTAAGTATTTATATTTTTAACTAGCAACAAAAATTGTATTCTTAATAACCAATATCTCATACAATATATAATTTGAAATATTTTGTGTATATAATAATATAACTATCAGAATCGTCTCAAACATGTATTTCATATCTCAACCATTTATTATGAATACTGTTATATTATATGTGATTTATATATAATAATGATATGTGATATAATATAATATATGATATGTGATTTTTATTTATTTATATATTTATATATATATTTATATATATATTTATATATATATTATTTATAATATATTTATAAATAATATATTTATTTCGCTATTACAAGAAAAACCAAAAAAAAAAACAAATATAAATTTAACTTTAATTTTTAAGAAAACTTGCACCAAAATACATATAGTTAATAATGATGTTGTAACCCAGATAGGAAACTTGCTTTTTAAACGTATGTTAGGAACGATGTGCTGAGCTTTGTCGTCTAAAAAGATAAATGGCTACAAGACATAAACCAAGATTATCTGCGTATAACCCTTAGATAGAAACAGTAGTTTATTTTTAGATATATTAAAACAATTGGTAGGAATCTTTCAAAAACTTTCCTTCTCCATTTTAATATGTATAGGTAATACATAAATACTTTTTTTTGTACATACATCATAATTTTAATAACTTTATATTTTTCTCGGATAAGTTTTCCAACTTTGAGACTATAACATAAAATCATGTATTAATTTCATGTTACTTTATAAACATTTAAATTAAGTTTTAATTTTATAATCCCATAATACTAATCAGAATTAAATATTTATTAATATATAACATATATTTGAGAAATAATATACTTATGTAGTGTTTTTGTTACATAAAAAGAAAAGAGTGAATTAATTGGTATATTTCAAAAGCTACTCGTTGCAACTTCAAGTAACTATGAGTACACACAAGTACGTTCCACCAGTAAATTTAAAAGGAGAACATCTGAGAAATCGTAACATCATTGTCAATGTGGCAAGGAAACGATATGAAACTTTAGTCGAATATTTTCTTTCAGTAAAAATTATGTTGAATTTGTAAGTTGTAATATTGATGATGCAAATAAATTTCAAATGAAATAAAACAAAATAAAACATTTAATTTTTGGAAACACTCTCCAATTTTTCACTGACAAATAAAATTTTTTGTTCACAGACGAAATTTGAAAACAATATATATTTCGATTCGAACATGAAAAACTTGCCAAATTCTATCCAGTGTAGACGCCAAGTTAATATCTCTACTAAATTTAAGGCAAATCAATTACAAAGTAGACTTATTTACTCCACACACGTAAGTAGTTAGTGTTCAACTTATTTTAAGTATAAACATAAAAATAAATAATAGTCAAAATGTCACACAAAACCGCTAAAAGCGCAAAAAATAAAAAGTAACAGCTTAATGTCACCATCAGTGGTCTTAGGAAATAGTCGAATTTCTTAATTAGTTTATAGTCCGCACATAATTTGTTTTGACTTTTTTTTTTTTGTTTATTGCTACGACTATTTACATTATAAACAACAAGTAGCTATTATCTGATCGTAAAAAAGCAGATGAAAAATAAAATATCACCAAAAATTTTTGTGGAAAACTTTCGCATATTTTTTATCTTAAAAACTTTAGATTTGACATTTGTATGTGAGTCAAAATATTATAACCTTTAATCATAACCTATTTTTACTTTTAAAGCTATGTATTAACAATCCTACTTCAATTCATTTTTAATTGATTTAAATTATGCCTTAATTTATGAATAATTGTCAATAATACTATGTTCAGACACACATTAATTTCGCAAAAATCTTGAATCATCTTCATTTCAACGAAATTAAGTTGTTTTTTCCATACAAAATTAAGTTTTGAGATTAGATTGAAATTAAGGAAAATGACCTTAATTTCATTGATACGAAAATTGAAATTAAAGGTTATTTCAAATGCAACCATGCATAAGATAAATTGTAAGCGAAAGATAAAGTTGAGATAAGAAAAAAATGACAATTTTTTATATAAATGTCAATGACAGTTGACTTTAATAAATATAAATATTTGGAAATATTTGGAAAATAGTGCAAAAATTTAAATTTAATTATAGAGAAAAAACTGTAACTGTTATTAATTTAAAATATAGTGAAAAATTATATTCACATACCTGCAATCCTCTAAAGCTAATAAAAGTATTGAATGCCAATCTTTGTAGTTATAATAATCAGTTTTTAAAATATCCCAGATACAAAAGGTGTTTGGAGCATGTAATTTTTAAAATTCGATTTGTAAACAAAAACATACGATCCCCTTAATTTGGGGCAGCATGAACACTTTCTAAATTAACTTAATTTAATTTTAACCAAATTAGGGAAATTAGTCTGTCTAAACATATTATAATTCTTAATTTATGAATAATTGCCACTAAGATACAATATTTAAATTATATCCGACATATAATGATATATAACCAAACGCTTATAATAAATTCCGTGCACATTCCACCAAAATGTAGCGCATCACAAAATTACTTGTGTATGTACCTATAATAAACAACAAAATTATAAGTTCGTTTGCTGTGCATGACGTAGCGTCCATGGATATTGACATATTTCTGCCCATTGTTGAAAGTGGTTGATATTCTCTCAGCACATTATTCTCAAATAAATTTCAACTTAAGCCAAGACCGGATTTAGTATATGGTGAATTCAAAAAAACTAATCACACCATGAACAATGTATAGTTTACATTGTTTTTTGTGATGGAATGTAAAATTATTTCGAGTAAAAAAAACTGTTCTCACTTAAATTTGTTTTATTACTTG